TTAACTAAAATAATGAATGACTCATGGTATATTTTCTAGCTTAACCTATATTGTATTGTTTTATTATTTCCCTTGGCACTCCAGAGTGAATGGATAACATTTATCAGGATTGAGAAACAAGTTTATTTTTAATCGGTAATGTTAGTTTAAATAAAATGTGGTTCATCTGAAAGCCTTTTATTTCTTGATTTGCAGCTGGTGTGTCCTTGGCAGAAACAGTTATGCTCGATTGCTACGAATCGCTACAGTGACTTACTAAAAGTAATCTGGAGTTTATCACTTATCATTTTACTGTCTTGGTTGCGTATTTTTCATCAGAGTAGATATGTGATTTATTTGTGGATGGTGAATAAGTGGCTCAGCCTGGTAAATAAAATGTGGTTGCATAAGTTTTCCCTGACTTTATGAGATGAGTGTGTGGATCCTGCGGCGGATTATAAGAGACAGACAAAACAAGAAGACAGATATTTATTTAAAAACATATGTAGGTTTTGTTTTCCAGTCTGAGAAGAACGGAAGGTTAGGATTTTTCCCCGAAATTCAATCTGGAAATAATTTTTCTTGTGATCTTAAGTAATTTTTAGTTTATTTTCTGGTTAAATGAAGATAAATGGAATGTCCGATAGAGTGAAGAGTCTCTTTCGTTTCTTTTTGTACTTTGTTGGTGAAGTTAGGCTGAAAGATTTGGTTAACTTACAGACCCATTTCGGTTTCCAAGCATAGAGATGAAGACGAGCTCCCCTGTAAAAGACACAGGAACTGACAGAAAGAAACTCAAACACAAAATACTTTAGACAGCTGTCATTTATTGTGCTTGTTTTTGCTGTACCTTAATGTTACCCTCTACATGGGTGGCACAAACATTGCTCCCTCATTTCAGAGGCAGTTATTGCAGCAGAAAATAAACAGTGGGTGATTTTCCACCACCCTGAGCTCTGGTCCTACAGAAGAGACCTGGGATCTCACAAAACTCAAAAGTGCATGCCTGCTGCTGCTCTGTGTTGCTGTGTGACTCTTGTGTAAGCTGGACTGCATGTTTCAGCTCTTTTACTCCCTCCCTTAATCTATTTCTCTCAAGAACATGAGGAAAGTTGCAGGGAAAAATTTTTTTTTGTCTGAAATTAAAAAATCAATTATAGGTGGAAAATGAATTATTGCTTTAAAAATTGTTTTACGGATCAAAATATATTTTTTTACTTTAAAAAAAAATGTCCAAAAGCCCTTCAATGGTTTATTCTCCCGCCGCTTATTGTAAACAGTTTGATTTGAATGCTTGTCTCTGATGATCCAACTAAGCCTGCCCATAGCAGATTTTGCTGACAGTTTTTCCAACCTATCTGTTGCCATTGCTCTTCTTCTTCTCACCCTTTCGCCCCCCACCGATCTTCCCCTGACACGCCTGAGTGTGCACTTATGCAAGTCTGCTTTAAGAGGCCACTGATGCAGCATTTCCCCCCCCAAACACCGCTGTGCCAAGCCCCCCCGGCACAGGAGCTTAATCAGGCAGGAAATACATGTAAGAGAATACAGAGACAACCAGAACTCATACGGCTTTAAGCACGTCGTCTCTTCTCTATTTGTCTGGCATTCAGAGATAACGAGGCTTTGAACAGATATCTCAACCACAGACAAGAAAAAAATAAAATATGGAAAATGTAAACTGTTGCCTACCCTTGTGATGTTTCTGGAAATTTTGACAAGACTCTTTCTCAAATACAAAATATGTGTCAACCATTTCGTCTCAGAGTACGGGGTAATCAAAGCCATTGAACTTATTGTAAATGTTTCCTTTTAATCACTCAAATCAAAGGTGGCATGAGAAAAGCTTTATAAAGTCAAAGTGCACAAGATTAAAGCTTGAAAGGAGGATGTGATTTTTATGCAAACGTTTCTTTGTCTTTGCAGCACTTGAATACCACAATCTGAACACGTCTGTTGAAACCAGAGACTTCTGGGTAGTCACAGGTAAGCATATCATTGCTCTAATTGGGTAAGAAAAAAAAATCGTCTTCTGAAACTTACTGAAGTATCTCAAAATGCATTTATCAGGCATGCATTCATTATTGAAGTAATGTTGTAGTAATTATATGATGGAATTAGAGCATAATTTGTTAAAACTTGAGAAATGTCTGCTTGTCTTCATCACAATTTCTTTCACTTTGATCTTAACTTACAGTTAAAACCAAATTTATACATACATTTGGCACATGCAGGTTTAAAGTAATCTTTTAAATTTAACAATGTTTCTGGAAGTGATATGAATATTTTGGATTTTCCTAATAATATAATTACAGGATGTAGCATACTTACAGGATATTTACATGCATTTTAACAAATGTAAAATTAACATTTATAAAAAAATTTAATTTAAATATTCTCTTTTGGGAGAGTGGTGTCTAATTTTCTATTGTATTTTCTGTTGTTCCAAATTAACATTATCTGCTGAACAAAGAATAAACCTCAATGTTTGAAAGCAGACTTGCACGTTGGCTTCAGGTATTAGTCTCTCAGATCAGATTTTATGGCTCTTAACCTGCACCTGCTGCAATATTAGGCTGAGTCAATACAAGGTCAGCACCTCCGTAATGAGATTTACTCCCACTCAACAAGACATACAACCAACAGAAATGCTTTTTCAGTTTTCAATAAAGTGGAGCACCTCTGTGGATGTTTCTTTCTTTCTTTCTTTCTTTCTTTCTTTCTTTCTTTCTTTTTTCTTTCTTTCTTTCTTTCTTTCCTTCTTTCTTTCTTTCTTTCTTTCTTTTGTTTAGCACCAGTAAGAAAGATAAAAAAAAAAACAATTTTATTTTTCTGTGCCTGCTTTTCTTTTTTTGCCTGTTAGATCACATCAAATTCATACATTTCAATAGACCTTTGAGTATTAAGTTATTAGATTTGAACACAGTTTGGTTTCTGAAAATAGATGTTTGCTTAAAATCTTAAAATTCAAACATATATTATGCCAATTTTATACATTAATTTGGATTTTTTTTTTTTGGTGGCCACAACATGATAGTCTAGGAGAATATGGCATCTGATCCACATAACCTCAGTCTTTGGAGATAAAGCTCAAAATGTTTAAGATAAATACAAAAAAAAAGTATATTCTTGCCTCGGTTTTAACTCCTTGCTTGAATTTGGTAAGTGATTTTGATTATGATAATGAGAAAATTTTCAGTGACTCAGATAATGCAAAAATAACTGGAAATGTTTATGACAGCATAAATCACATGTTATATGGCAACAAGTCAATGCATATTGGAACCTAAACATGGTTAAGACGACCTGTTACGTTAAACCAAATATTAGAAAGGGGAATTGAGGAGTTAAGGCAGTTCTTTTGGCAAAACCAGGTCCAAACCTGTCCTAGTAATGAGCCATCTCTAATAAAAAGTGTTTACTAATCCTATTAAAATCTGCAGGTATCCATCTTTGACTGACCACAACTTGTATGTGATGAACTGCCAATATTTCAGAAAGAGCACACTTTATAGGCAGTGTTTTGGTTTCTCTAAGTGAGGTTTAAGGGCTCTTTGAAGTTAAAGCTCCAGTTTCCCAGCCGAACACACATTTTGCTGTTGTCTTCTGTGACGCTGGAATCAAGACGTTTATGAAGCATCCACATGTCGTAATTCATAAGTTCTTTGCGGTGCTGTGTGAACATTGCAAAATGTCGGGATTTAACACTTTTACTACCAGTTATTTTCCCCAAACGTGAAAACACTCAACTTATTTTGCTTGTCCCCTTTAAGTTTTCATTTTAGGCTGTATAAACCAAAAGGACGTGTCAACATTTCTTACCCTCTTCTTGTTCTTTTTTTTATTTTACTCTTTGCCCTCAAGAACAGTTTACTATCTGTCTTAACAACCATCTCTCCACTCTCTGCCTTACGACTGAACTTGCAGTGATCCAGGATGTCGATAATGCCAGCCTGGAGGGACAGTACCAAAGCTTTGCCAGTCTAATGGAGCAGCGGTTGGCGGACCTGTTTGTGTTGGCGGGGCAACAGGGCACTCGTTTTAGACGAGCCACGACTGTGGGCAGCTTCACCGTCCAGGTACTAAAACAGCGGGCATCAGCTTATTTTGTCTTCTCTGATATTTTGCCAGACTGCCCCTGCGTGTTTATGAGAAGTCAGTGAAATGAAATTGTTTATGTTGGCTTCTTTCAAATGCTATGAATATTTCATAAGGCGCACACTTTGATAAACACTTTTGAAACACTCGAGATGAGTGCTTGTGGTCCGTGCCTCATAATTAGGGAGCTCCTCAGCTCGTCATTTACTAATTGCCCATCAGAAACAAGCCAGAGACCTTTCACCAAACAACTGCTCTTAACATTTCAGTTTAGTCATTTAAGCAGAATTGCACAAAAATGTAATTAACTGCTTAGCCTACTGCATCATTTTTGATGACTATGACATGTTGTCTTCCACCAGATGGTGAGCATCCGCAGAGTGTCCGGGCTAAAGAATCCAGCAGAGATGACCTACTACGTCCAGCATAATGGCATCCCTCTGTCTGGCACGTCAGCTGCCAAGGTCCTGAACACAGTGGACTCTCAGACCATGGCGCTCACCCTGGGCTACTTTGTCCAGGTGCAAGCAGAACGTAAGCACACTTCCTTTCTCCCATGTTTGACCATAAGGAACTTTTTTTTTAACAAACCCTTCACAGCAAGGTAAATGAAAACACGTGATTCACCGTCGGCTTGGAAAGAAGAGCTGGCTCTGGGGGTGAAGGGCCCAGAAAAAGGCGGGTTGCTCAGTAATCTCCTTGAAATGCTCCCAGCAGGACGGTGTTTGTTTAAGGCTGCAGATCTGCTCAACGCTAAGAGGGAAAGAGAAGTGGAGAAAGGGTGCGCACACGCAGCGTTTTCTCATAGATCGTAGCCTACAATAGCTGAATCAGGGCCTCTGTATATCAGATTGAGCTGCACGATGTCACTTGGCGAAGGCGACTAATGATTCTGCATGTTTTAGAATGTCGTCTTTTGTTATTGCTTTAAAATCTCTACCCTTATATAATCTTTGCAGCTACTGTAATGTCCAGACTAGAAGCCACTGCTTTTTTCACACGTTTTGAAAACGCTGTGGCGACAGTGATGCGGCCAATAATATGGATGTTTAACTTGAGACGAAAGAGAGAAAATGAAAGAGAGACTGAGGAAGTGTGTGACGAAGTCATTCTGAGGCTGTTCAATTCCAACACTGAAGAAGGCGACTTTACTAGTGTTGGCAGGGCAGGAAGATGAAGATAGCAGTCAGTGGTTGTTCCTGGTAGGCTGCCATATTTTATTTTGTCTTAAGCAGCCATGTTCAGAAAAACATTTAGTACATATTAGTGCATAGTACTGAAATAAAAAAAAGCTGTAAATAATACTTTAACAAAAATCTTCCTGTGTAACATATTTCTGTATGAATATCTCATGCTACAACATGGCAGATACACAAGTGTGACATTAAGAAATGGCGAAACGTCTTTCTGCTTTTTCAGCTGTGGTCAAGAACCCTCCAAATAACCTCTGGATTATTGCTGCAGTTTTGGCCCCGATCTCAGTGGTAACACTCATCATTATCATCATCACAGCTGTGCTGTGCAAAAAGAACAAGAACGACTTTAAAGCTGACGCCATTGGTAACCTCAATCCCAGAGCCAAGGTAAGTTTCCCTCTATCAGTCCTTTAACTTTAGCTGTGCAGTTAGTTCGGTCAATTTCCATGCTCGCTAAATATTACAATTATTTGTTGTTTGTTAGTATAAAGTTAATCAGCTAAGAAAATGTGCTCTTTTATTGTGTTTTTGTGCTTTGTGTGTCAATGTAAAACATCTACTGATCATGGATCATATTATTAAATACCACACTAAATGATTTCTCCAAACCTCCTTGGGCATGTTTACCTTTAATAAATATCTGCAGTAATGAGTTTTTTTTTTTTTTTCCTGTGTGTCTGAGCCAAGTGATGGAGATAATATTTGACGTCACAGATGCTGTCTGACCAGTTGACCTTCCTGTCCATCCATGACATGTGTAACATTCATTTGAAGAGACTTTTTATTCCTCAAACTCTCAGTTTGAGTTGCACCATCGCTCCTTGACCCACCAGTATAATTTAGGCTATTCTGATAGCACAATTATTGGCAGAAATGACAGTGCTGGCTGACAGTCAACCACATCAGGGAAACAACGTTGGTTAGATTTTCGAATTGAAGATATTGTCACCTTCACTACTGTGGTGAACCGTGATTACACTGGACTCACCACAGGACGTCTATAAATCCCTCGATTTGTTAAATCTCCAAGTTGCTGCTCTTACACAACATTTATCTTGACTTTCTCCTCCTCAGTTGATGAATCATCACATATATCTTACTTCATGACTTCATGAGTGTAAATTGTACCCTTTTCTGTCAGCTATTTTGTTATTGTTTGGATACTGCGCAGTGTGTTAATGCACTGGTTTGCCACTCCAAATGTAACTACATCACTCTCCTGTAAAAATTTTGGTTGGATTCTTAGCAAGCTTGTTCTCACTTTTCTCATTTATTACTTTTTAAAATAGTTCCCGGTGTCGCACATGACATTTAATATGATTGAACCAAACAACCCAAACCCAATTACCTAAACTCTTTTAATCCTTTCAGTCTTTATTTGGGAGAATCTCAGATAATCTGGTAGCCAAACTTAGATCTCGCTTTGCACCTTTTTAACATCCTCCTTTATGTTTTCAGATGGCGTATCGGAGGGATGTGAGCTATTATCACCAGGTATCTATTTCTCTGTAATTCTTCTGATTAGTAATCTGTGTTTTTATTTCCAAGGCTCTGCTGAGCATGCCGTGGGATTTGAATGGGATTCTGTTCAGAGAACACTGCTGATATAATTCAGTAAATCCAGCTGTGCTGATGAAAACCAAGGATATAACAGCACTTCAGAGTAACGACGCTTTCAAAAAGTAATTTTCTGGGAAGCAAGGCTAATATTGTCCTTTCTTCTTATTGTAGCTGTCTCTAGATAGCAGGATTTAAAAGGTTAGGCCTTATAGAGCAACGGTGTTATGCAGGATGTTTTAAGCAGAAAGGTCTTTTCTGCCTGAGTACATGCAAATACTTATAGTGCTTTCACATTGAGATGATACACTTGTTTATCTTGTTTTGGTCTTTGCATATATCGGAGCAGACAAATTAAAATGCAGAGTGTAGCTAACGGCAGACCCCATCGCTTTCTCTGCTGATTCATTCATAGTGCAGTAAAATCTTATGCATTTCAACCAAAGCGGTGATCAGATTCTAACTACGGAGCAGTTATCACACGCACAGAGGAAGCTCCTGTTATCTCGTTTTATAAAACAGAGACCACTAAAATCATTTTCATTAACCATCACATGTGTTCTGCCAGGATATTTGACATATTTCATTTTCAGAGTACACCGTGAATACTTGCTACTAAGGAATATGGAAGCAAAGGAAAGCTCCTGAAAAAAAATGCTCAAAGATAGTGACTCCTAAAATTTTATAAAGACCCTCGCATTAAGCCCTCCGCAGTACGGAATGTGCAAACTGAACCCTTTCATCATGCTTACTTGTTAGTGCTTCCTCTTTAAAGACTAGCAACAGCAGCACTTTCAATAAAACTCTCAGAGTGTGTGTGTGTGAGTGTGCTAAAGAAGATGAACGTTCAACGGGAGTATAACACATTGATTTTGCAGTTTGGCCCGGCTGCTCTCGGGCAGTGATGTGTGTCAGACAATTTATGACTCCGAGATGACAGCAGTCGTAAATTTTTCAGCATATATTTGCGTGAGTGGTCTTCTATTCATAACCATACCGACACCACATTTTACACAAACTTGGTTTTACACTTTTATCTTCTCTTGCATTCTGCTGAGCTTAATCAGTGGGTTTCCACAAAGACCGGTGTATCTCATCTTGTTGACTGCTGCTGTTTGGTATTTATTATTTAACCAGAGACAGGAAGAACATGAAGAAGAGTCACAGTTAAATCTGTGCTTATCTATTCAAAGGCGTGACGTGCGGTAATCCCAGTTCCGCTTTTTAAATCCCTTTGACTTTTAAGGATGTACTCGGCAACTATGCCGAGAAGCTTGTCTGTGCGAATCTTGCGGCGGACTCATACATGTCTTTGCATTTTTTACACCGAACTGCATTTTCTGAGCAGAAGGGGGGAAATTAGTTATAAAAAACTCTCTCCTGTCACTCTTTATTCCTGCCTAACACGTCCATCAGCCAGTCCAGGGATTTGACTATGCCAAGCAGCACCTGGGCCAGCAGGGAGGAGATGAGGAGACGCTGCCTGTCAGTCAGGACACTTTAGTGATGTCCCTACAAATCCGGGACACATCACTGTCGCTAGAAAAGGCACTGCAACAAGACGGGACAGCCAACAAAAAAAGTCACACTGCTGACAAACACAAAAGGTAAGATACTCCCGCTGTTCCTCTCTTCAAGCTATGATCTCTGTTACCCTTTTATTTTCCAAAACTGTGTCAAAGCTATAATGTTGAATGTTGAAGCTTTGGTTTAGCATTCTGGGAAAAAGAATGGAGATGAAGCAATACCTCAGTCTAGTCGGAAATATAATTTTGATTTGTGCATCGTTGCATAGTGAGAGCATGGCCAAAGCAACTTGTGTTTTCAATACCGTGCAGTTAAAAAGCTTTTATTATTTATTTGTCCTGCAGTGTGAAACTTTCTTTGAAACAAATATGCATTTTACAACCTAGAATATGCGGCACTAGTAATATTGTATTGGTAAACTAACGTCAAAAGCCGTTTGGCTGAATCAAAAATGAATGATGAAAAATAAGATAAGATGTATAGTTTTAAATAGCCTAAACATTTTCTTTTCAGCCCCTCAAAAATGTTGACCTTGAATTACTTCAACTCACCTACTTTTTGACCTAAATTTGTGATTCTGGTATTGTTGATGGAGGAGACTGGTACTGTGAGACAGATATTAAGAATAAATTAATAAATAAACTAATAAAAAACAGATAAATAGAGAAATTAATTTTGCCACTCAGAAAGAGATTTGTTAGGGGTTTAGCAAATGTATACAGCTGCTTATTGCCCCCACCAACAGGGGGCGCCCCCATTTAAGATTAGTAATAAAAATGAGAACTCAAAGTTCACCGAATATTCTTTATTTATTTATTGTTTAGTATGGTTGACATTAAGAAGTTGATAGGTTTTTATTTAATTCAAATTGATCAATTCTGTTTTTCTCAAGCAGCAGCTGTTGATACCAGGTTGCTCAGATGATACGTTAAAGTTTCTTAATTTCCTTTTTCGGTTTTATTTAAAATTACACCAGATTTCAGCTGCAATATTTAACAAACATGCTAGTAAAAAAAAAAATCCATGCATTCATACTTGGTGGATACAAAATCCTGCACTTCATTTGTCTTCTAATCACAATTTTCTTTCAGTGAAAGTGAACTACACGCCTCTGTTAGATTAACACTTCTTTGTGTCTTTCTCTTTGCAGCATTGCCTGCTTTAGAGTTTTTCATTGCTGTTATCAATTTTAACAGACTATTAGGGGTTAGAACATGATTCTTTGATCTCACAGACAGTCTTATAGTTTTTTTTTTCTCAGCTAAGGACTGATTAGCTCTAAGTCCAGCAAACACTACAGTGTTTGAAGTCATGGGAACAAGTATGAACACAGCAACTGTACAGTTAATCTGCGAAGCAGTCGCGGCTCATTATAGACATGAATACACATTGTTAGAAACATATGCTCAACCATACAGTACGAAATGCGGTTTAAAAAAAGCAAATCTTGAACTCGTTGTCATTTTCTGACAATTTCTTCAAAGACATTACAGAATTTTTTGCAGTTTTCTCAGAGTAATAAATGTCATAATCTCTAAGGCTTTTAAAAATGTTGAAATTGTTTTTTTTTCTTCTCCTACTTTTATTCCAGGATTTGTTTGTTTCTCCAGCTATGTGACATAAATGAGTAATTAATATACAGTGGGAAGTTCCTGGTCTTTGACACAGGCAGGGTTCAAATGCCAACGTCAGGACATTTGCTGCATTCTCCATTCCCTCTCACTGCTTGCTTTCTGCCTGACAAATGTGGTAACAACGGTGTAATTTGGAGATAATTTTCTTATTTTAAATTTTTTTTAGTTGTTTATAAAAACATACCTAGGATAAATGAATTTGACACAAGTGAAATATTTGTGTAATAGAGATTTTTCTATTTCATGCTATTTAGCTTACGTCCAGCAAGACAGCTTGGCCGTGCAAGAAGTATTCTTTAAACATGCATAATGGTTTGGATATTTATTTAATTTTGTTAAACACATTATGGTTAATGGACAAGAGCTTTAGTGGATATCAGGGAAAAGGTGAGGTTGTAAAAAAAGGAAGGGATGACATAACCTGGCTGCCAGCCCAGCTTCCTGGGAACTTAACCGCCTTTCCTGTTGCTATGGTTACTTGCAGCAAGTTGCCAAGTGAAGACGGTTCCGTCATCAGCGACGAATCAGAGAAGCTGAATTCTAAGAGGGGCCTGACGGTGCCGAAAGTCACAGCGCAGCAGAAATCGACAAAGGAGGAGGCCCGCAGGAGGGACGGTGAGAGTCGCACGTAGATGCAAATACAAACGAGTCATTTTACCGCTTCTTCGCTGGCAAGGTCAAGAGCTTAAAAGAAAAAGCAAAGCAAAAAATATATCTTTTCCCTTTTTGGATAAAGATGTTTGCACTGTCTAAGGTTTTCCATCGTACAACGGGACAGTTAAAAGGAATGCACTGGCACTGCAGCGTTTTGGTTGTCAGAAAGGTAACCACTCCCCCCCCAGCCCCCCAGCAGTAGGTGGAGATGGACCAAATGAATATGCATGAGACAGACACTTTGCTGAGACGTTATGGTGTGTTTGACTGCTGGGTACTGTGACAAACCAAGATGAGCACGCACACACACACACACACACACACACACACACACACACACACACACGGTCTAATACTCAACTCTTATAAGTCCAGAAATACCGTGTGAAATCTCATAACTCGTTGTTCCATTAAATTTTGTTCTACTTTGAATAATGTCTTGTTCTGTCCCCTGTTCTGAGGCTAAGTGCTCCAAATGTGGCGGACACAAGTAAAAATTCCTCCAGTTCCATCTCTCTGCTTGTAAATTTGATCAAATTTGTCAGATTCTGATTTTCCTAACGGCTGGATTTGAATAATTCAACTGCTGAGTTCGGCGAAACTGGAACTCAGTCCGTTTTTTTTTTTCTGAGGCTGGATAACGGACAAAAGTGCAGAGTCAGTTTCTTTCATTTATCACACAGATGCATTACCACAACACTGGAAGCCAAAGCTGTCCTTGTGATCTATTGTTGCTATCTACAACTTCATTTACTGAGACAGATGACTTTTGTGTGATACAATTCAGAAACTGATGGTTCACATTCTTCTTTTTTTTGGGGGGGAGGGGATGGAAGTAAGGGAAGAGGGCGGCCAGACAGGCGGGATGACAACTCTCCCCCCATTTGATTGATACGGTAATGATTATTGGTATTTGCTGTCTCTTTGTTTGTAAACTTCTGCTCTTGTCTTCAGATCCATACGACACATCTTCTGGCTCCCTGCAGCTCATTTCCATAAAGCCTGTAACTGCACAGACAAATTGCTCCCACCCTGCATCCTCCGACCGCAGCCAGGACTCGGCCATCATCAACGGAGAGGTGATTTACACCCACATCTACACTTAGACAGATGTTGGTTTTTATTGAGCAAGAACGTTACTTGGAGACATGGTGCTGTAAAACAGTGATGGCCCTCTTACAGATTTCTCTCTCTTTTTTGTCGCACTTGAATGGTTTAAATCATCAAACAAATTTTTATGTCACAAAAAGATATTCTTAGTATGAAATCACTGAGATCAACCATATTTTTTTTTTTACTTCAGTATGAATGGCCACATCTTGTTCACTCTTCTAGAACCAGGAAATGACTGTAATAGAAACTGCCTGAAGTAGCCTGAACAGCATCAAATTATGTCCTGATCTAAATGAAAACACAGAAGAGAAATAAATTGATTAAAGTCTCTGTTACAAATAAGTTTTTGTAGGATTTTGGTTTCCAGCTACCCACAGTGAGAATGATTATCCATAAATAAAGACAATGTGGAAAAGTGGCAAAACTTCCCATGTGAAGACCAATACTCCAATAATAACTACCGTATTTCTCGGACTGAAAGCCGCTACTTTGTTCCCACGCTTTGAACCATATGGCTTTTCTGAGGATTTTTCTTCCACCACCAGGGGGCTCTTTAGCTGGAAGTGAATCACTGGAAGTCAAAATTGGAAATCAAAGAAGAACTCGCTAATTTTCATTTAGAACGAGCACATGCTAGCAGCAGGCATGACGGAGAAATGTATTCAAACTCATATGATGCAGCTTTTAAGCTGAGGGCTAAAGATCTGGCAGTACAGGAGGGAAATGGAGCCGCTGCTCTGCCTTAACGAGTCCATGGTTCGGCGTTGGAGACGCAGGGCTGCGTCTTTAATTACAGATTTAGTCCTTGTGGAAAACCAAGAGCGGCGGAGATGCCAGCGGCTTATATATGTATGCTTCCAGTTTATTTTTATTGTTCCCCGAAAAATTGTAAAAACTGTTTAACTCTCTTGTCTCCATTATGGAAAACTTTTTAAAAATGAAAAAGAGACTGGGAAAAACAGCAATGATGTCCAGAAGGAACATTAATGCTTGTTCCCATTTTTCCAAAAAACTATTCTGTGGACTGATGCAAGACGCAGGAAATATTTTGAATGTGTGACCATCTGTTAAAACTCAACACTGCATCTTAGAAACTTAACATCATGCTAACAGTCTTACACAGTGGTAGTATTGCAATGGCCCGGAGCTACCTGGATATACGTAAAGGACATATTTGAATCTTTCTTCCAGGTATTTCACTTCTTTCTTTACTTTGTCAAACCTCTGTGGTAATTTCCATTGCTCAACACTATTGTGGATTTTACTCTGTGAAAATTGCTTATTTTGAACTGAACCTACTATACATTTTAGAAATTATGTTGTAGCTCACTGTTTAATTAGATTACCCAACAGAGAATTCCCATGCCTCTGGAAACCCTGAAGCGCCATCACTTTAAAAGTCTCTGGTTATTTTGGATACTCTGAATCAGCTGTTTTATGCCGCTTTAATACCTTAAATTTAATCTCTTCTTTCATTACTTAAGCCTTATGAAAAACCCTTGTCACCCTGCCATGAACTTGCGCGTTTGCTCTCGCCAAGCATTTCTCTCATGGCAGATATTAGAAGATAATTTACCTTTCCACACACCGTTGGAATATAAGATTTCTCTATCAGAGATAATATTTTAATAACAATTCACCAGGAGTGACTGCAAAGTCGTTCACTCTTTATGCTGATCGACATGCATTCCTGCTGCTCACGATGGACAAGACTCCGGATATCCTCATTATCACTTTGATTTTCTTGTTTTGTCACTGGAGAAGACAGACTGTATGATTTCCTTTCACTTAGAATACGTTTGACTTTATTTGTTGTGTTTGCATTGTGGTAGCTGCCTAATCCAATTGCTACGTGTCAAAACAAATGCAGAGGCTTAATTGTCTCACTGAAAAAAACTATTAAGTAGCATCACCAGGCCATAACTTCCTTTGTTTAACAAGAGAAAATGCACTTCTTTAATTTAATTTAAATCATATTCAACCCACAATCTGTACCAGAAGAATCAAGATGAATACTCTGTGCATTTTTAAGTTTTGATCACCTTGTGTTCAGTTGCACTTGTTGGTCTGCCCGCTCTTCAGGTCAACTTGGCGTTGAAGCAGAAATCAGACATTGAGCACTACAGAAACAAGCTGAGGCTAAAAGCTAAGAAGAAAGGCTATTACGATTTCCCGTCCACCAACGGCAGCAGCAGCGGCGGAGGTCGAGCCCTGGTGCATAAACAACGGAGCGACTATGAGAGGGAAGTCGGTGAGCATGGCAGACCTCTGGAGCCGGACGACGAACGAGGGTCCACATTCGTCAAGTCTCACAGAAGGTAAGAGCAGACTAGATGGAGTAGATGTATTTTGATACATAGAGGCTTTTTGCCGGCAGATTTTTGCAAAATCTGTTCCGTTGCTGTCAGAAAATTTCGGCTCTTTATATCAGGCTGTCTCATTCATCGACGCTCGGTTCTTCACCCAGGAGATAACAGCTTTCTAGGATATATTGGTATGTCTTTCACCCAGAAACTTATCTTGCAATTGCATGTCACCTTTGAATGGACATTTTTTCCCCCCATTCCTTTTAGGAGAAATAAATTCAACCAGATTCACTAGGATTTTTATCTTTCTGAGAATACAAAATCCTCCAGGTCTGGACTGGGGACGTTTCCTGAGGCCATCTCATTTTCCCAGAAATACGGCTGTGGTTCTTATGGTTTACTCTCAGAAACATAATCATATTTGTATCCGTCTCCCTCTTTGTCTGGACGGTGCCCTCAGCTCATCTTGCACAAAATTATCTTTTTATCTTTTTGGATGCTTCTAGTCCTTCTGCTTTGAGTTATCACACAGTTCAATATGTGTCAATAATGATATAAATTTCACTTCACCACAGATCCATCTTCATCACTTTGGCATCTGTTTCATCGTTCTACCACACAGTGACTGATTTGTAATTTGCTGCATCAGTGGATTCCTTCTGTTCCCTGTGAAATATATAAAGGGAAACATGGATATAAAACATAGTAACTATTTATTTTTTTTTATTATTTATTTATTTTTTTTTTTAAATCTACCAGATTTTACATCTTGCCCAACAAACCTTAATGAACTTTTTGGACTTGGAAAAGGGAATTACTATCTTTTCCACGGCATGCTGGGACCTTGCCGTGGGCCATTCAGTGCTCATGCCACCAGAGCCAAATCTGGTTCTGGGAGCTAGTGAACTCTGCCAATGTGATTCTGTCCAAGGTTTTTATGGCCACAATCTCTTGTTACTTTCAAATAATAATAATAATAATAAAAAAACGTACATCTACACTTTCCGGCACTATTATTTTCAAATAACTTACCAAAATATAGCCACAAACTTTAATGTTTTTTTGCCACATAATTGTGAGTTGGAATGAAAATCATACATTGTTCCCACATTTTTTTATTTTTATTTTTTACAAATAAAAACCAGTGTTGCTTACCACACTAGCATCAATGTGATACTGATGCAAAGTATTATTGATACTTTGGATTGATCTGCCCACCTCTACTGACATGCATCTTGGTATCTGTTAACAATATTTTCCCTAATATGGTGTGTAATGACACACACTGACTATATTAAGAGATAAAAAGAATAATAAAATCTAAAACTCTTGTAGTTGTTCGCTAATGTGTGACCAACATTTTTATTTTTATCTTTGTCCTCTTCAAATTTAACACCTTCTTTGTCAGCGCCAGCCCTTTCAAACAGGAGTCCAATTATTTTCCTCGCCTTGTTCGTCGTGCCTCAAGCAACAAACCGACGAGGTTCATCTTCTGCTTCTTCTGCTGAAGGCACACGAAAGGCTGACCGAATAATTCGAACACTTTGAGTAAAGAATCGCTTTGCTGCAGGTTTGATTTGTGTTGCGCTCACTTGGTTTACTCTAATTGGCAGGCATTCCCAGGTCGGACAGATGGCCTATCGCAGCAGACAAAGCCTAAGCAGTCCAAGTCCCGGAGGAACTGAGATGGACCTCCTTGTAATGAGAGAGAGGCCCAGAAGAGGCATCCGCAACAGCGGCTACGATGTGAGTCCCGTGTCAACACCCACCAACCGTTTCGACTCAACCTAATCAGCCAGTTAGCAGCTCAAAGGCATTTTTTTATTTATTTTTTTTTTCCCAGAGCTACAGCTTAAAGGAGTGATGAAAAAAATGACACATTAAAGAAATGTGTTGTTTTAATGGCCAATGTGAGAGCTAACTTAAATGCACAGTTCCTCTCATTAGGGCTTACAGTTGCAAACTTCCCAAAACCTTTCTGGACAACAACACTTGTCCAGAAGAGCTTGGACATTGTTGAAGATATTGGCAGAGAAATTTTATACTGTAGAGGTGTAGTTAACAGAGACTTTGGATTAATTATACTCCAACTTTGGCAAATGCCAAGACCTTTAGGAAATGCAGACTCTTGTTGCAGAAATGTAACATAAGTTCTAATTTGGTTTTTCTAAAAGAAAATGTGACCAAATTCCACAGATCAAGTAACTGGGCAACGCTAAAAAAAAGTCGGCTCCACAACTGTAACATATGCAATTAAATGGGAACCTTGATTTCAATCTGTAGAGACTCACACAGAGAGAGAAACAACAGTTAGACAATTTTATTGGACCGAGAATTTGGCGCTCAAGAGTGGTTTGAAGTGTTCTGCAAACTGTGAGCAGACAAACGGGCAATTTATAATTAAATGTAAAGATTTATAAAGGATTGCTGGGTGATGTGCAGCTGTTTTGCTGTTTGTCTAACACGCTTTTATGGTCTTGAAGTCAGAGTATTTTTAGCGTCACAGAAATTCGAAACATTTTTCTAAATTTCTATTTCGTTAGAAAAGTGCAGGCGTCGTTAAATGGAGCATTTGTGCAAACTGATGGTGCTTCGGCTCTTTTTGGCCTACACAAAAGATGGCATCAGAAATCTCGCATTGGTCCAGTGACGAGCATTCACCTCACCATCACTAGGGGATTGAATTGCAGAGAAAGTATGACACGTCCATCTGGGGGAAAAAAAATAAATTCTTATACTTCTATGACCATGTGTTGGCTTGCACTGTGTTTTTTCATGAGTCCTGGCCTTGTTGAATACAAAGGGAACCGGTCTGGCTGCAGATTTAAGTCTCTTCCCTTTTTCAGGAGGGCTGATTTATGAGGTGCTCTGTGCTGGCTCTACTGTGGCTGCCCTCTTTTTGCACAGGAAGTAGGGCAGCCTCAAATTGTATAAATTTGTCACTGTGCTGGACTGCTCAATAGATGGACATAGTGACAAAAAAGTATGTTAAAAGATAAAAAAAAATGATTAGGACAATAAATACTGCTCTCAAAAGCGTACGCACCCCATAAAAATTTGACCATGATCAATGTTTTCAAAACATATTTGTATTGACAGTGTTGCAGTTACTCTGGACACGTCAAATGAAAATCAAATTAGTTGAAAAAAACATCACATGTAACTTCAGTCTTTAACAATACTTGATTTAAGCACCCTTTAAAAAAAAAACAAAAAAAAAAAAACAAATGTAAAGTATTCAGTCTTCTCTTTGTCACCAGTGATAATAAATCACTTGAATCGCAAGTTGGGTTCAAATCCTGATAACAGCAAATAAATTTCAAAGGAATATCAAATAAACTCATTGTACAAAGGATCATTCAGGAGAAGGCTTCAAAAACTCCTCTGTGCTGTAAATCCAACGTGGCACAATGAAGGTTTGGGTATCATCAATCCTTAAGGATCTACATGAATTTCTTCTCAGCACTGGACGTATTTCACAACAATCTCCTTCATCTTTATTGTGTCCAGACTAAGAAGTAGGGTTACTGTAAATAAAACACCCAGTTCTGACTAAAAAAAGAAAGTCTGAAACCTTGTAGTAGAATGCAACGAGGTCTGATGAAACCAGACTGGACCTTTTGCTAGAAAATCTTAAATGCTTTACACAAAACAAACACTGAAAAGTGCCAGACGAATAACACGCCCACGTTGAAACTTTGTGGGGATAACACCATCTTTCTCTGGATTCTTTGTCACATTTAACTGCTTTTCCATTTGTCTTCAGTTCTCATAGTTTTTGAAGAGTCAGTTGAGTCTAATCTATTATATATATGTGTATATATTTCGCAGACTGAGCCGGAGCTAATCGAGGAGACAAACGTTGATCACCTCCTGGGGCCACGTAGGTACATGTACGGCCGTGGCCTTAAAGGCCACTCAGAGACGTCCACTCTGAGCTCACAGCCGTCCATCGACGAGGTGCGACAGCAGATGCACCTGCTGCTGGAGGAGGCGTTCAGCCTGGCTTCTGGGGGCCAGTCCACATCTGGAAGGCACGGCCACCACCAGCAGCCCCCTCCGGACCAATACAGCCCTGCGCGTCCTCTCCCGTACGCAGACGTGGTCAGCAGCGTTCCGGGCACCATGAGCTCGGGGCGGGGCGGACTCCACTGGGTGCCATCTTACGGAGCAGATATTTATCAGTGCAGCCTGCCTAAACCTGTGAGTTGGAGAAGCTATTTCGTCTTTTCAAGTGACCACTCCAAAAGCAAATTGTTTAAACAAAAGAGCTCTCACTGTCGTTTAAGGCCTTTCGCTTCACCCAGCTTCCTGAGATGGCCGTGGGTTCTCCGCCTCCGCTACCGCCTCGCACTGGACCCCCTCACAGAACCTCCTTAAGACGGTAAAAAAAAAAAAAAAAATGAAGACACCCATAAATGAAAAGAGGAGTTCGTTTTCAAAATTTTCTGAAAACGACACGGATGACAAAGATACTAAAACAGACGATTAAGAATCGGAGCACGAGCTTCGCCAAAATACACAAAAGCCAATGTGTGGCACCTCGTACAGGAAAACGCAACAATCTTTCCTTAAACAGGCGCTTGGTAAGATTTGGAAGACGTAAACGATTAGCAAAACGGATTACACAAAAACAGACACCGGTGGAGACAAATGCCCATCTTTCGTTTGCTAACCTTTTGGATGTTCCTTTTTTAAAAAAAAAAAAAAATCACATTAACATTCATATTCAGGGACTGTAAGGAGATTCGTTGTGGTAAGGGTGATTTAAGGCCTTGCTATAAATTTTTATAATGAACTTGTGTGTAGAGAGATGGCAAGAATACTAATGATGCTATTATTTATTTATTTATTTTTTTACATGGAGTGTGTGCGCCCTCTAGTGGTGGCTTTCTGCTGCAGTTTCTTGTTTATGCCTCTCTAATATCTTGACTTAGTTCCACCTCGGACTTGGGCCCCAAAGGAAGGAGCTCGGAAATATCTGTCGCTGAAATGCGGAGTCAACGTGAGAAAAACCCATACGGGCCGTTCACACGCGCAGCACTTCCATCTATCGCTGCGGAACAGCCTGTCCCAAACTACTCAGGTAAGCAGACGACGAGGTGATTCAGAATTTAAAATGCTTGCATCGAGTCTTTATACAATAGCAGCATTTTGATGAAAAAACAAAAAAAAAATGATTGACTGTTTTTATTTAAACAGGAAACCCTATTACTGCTGTCTACGCCATCCCCGCTGCAAAGCCAGGGTACTCAGAGTATTTTGTCCCCACGTCCCCTACGTCCTACCACAGTCCCTCTTGGATGTCCTATCCACCAGAACCTGAGGATGTCCATCCGCAGTGGACAGACTCTGTAAGAAAACCCATTTATCCTGTTTGTTCCCCAAGAAGGCTCACTTAAAAAAACAAACACAAAAAAAATAAAACTACTAAAAGAATAATATCAGATGTTGAGAATACATATTAAGTGTAATGAGCATTCCTGTTCAGTCCCGAATTAATGAAAACCATCTGTTTGCTGCAGTTACAGCTGCACATCTTTGTGTTTCTAAGTTCTGCACATCTAGAAACTAATGTTGGTGGCCTATGATCGCCCATAAGCATCGCTTTTTAGGGCTTGTTATAGATACTTATTTGTATTTAGGTCTGTAATAGTGATTTTTGTGAGCTTTTGAAAGATTCATATTTTCTTGCAAAAGAAAAATCACAATGAAACCCAGTGCAACAAACTGTCCTCAGCAGTCACCTAATTAGTAAACGGAGTCATCCTGGAAACAGTTTTATCTCAGCGTAAAGCATAATTGTTCTGTGAAGGCTTGTTATAGTATTTCCACTTAATTTGTCAGGACAGCAGTCACAAAGTTCTGGAAAAAAATCTTGTCATTTCAATTCATAGCCATGCACTGATTTGCACGCTTATATGCTCCTGCTTTACTGTTAAGATTGTGTTTTTCCTTTCCCTTCCTGTGCACTCTGTGTTCAGGGACCCTTACCTGGGTATGCTGAAGCTTTTCCTAATCCTCGATACCCACAGGGGAGTCCCACCAGGCTACCCCTGCAGTACAGCCAGACACTGGAGCAGCCGCCCACTGCCCCTCGCACAGTATCTGAGCAAAGCCTCCCCCAGGTGCTGAAGGACATGGACAGCATGCCTCTGAGCAGCCTCTCCACCTCTGCACTTGTGCAGGCTATAAGACAGGAGGTGGCCAAGCTAGCGAAGAAACAGAATGACATTTTTGAGTTTTAACATACAGACGTGTTTGGGTCTTCGCACAGAAGGTGATGCTTCTTCAGCTCCGTTTTTAACATTTGTACTCTCCGACAGACTGATCTTTAATCGCTGATTATCCACCTCTTTTTGCACACAACCGGTGTACGTCAGCTCGTCAGTTAAGGAAACTTCAAAAGATTTGTTTAAGTTTAGAAAATGACGATTCCGTTTTCTGTCAATGATGTCCCAGGTAATTATGCACATATCTATGTAGATATATCAGTAGGATAAAACTAAAGGTCAAACACATTTTTTTTTTTTCTGGACCAGATTAGGATCTTAGTGGGACTTATAAGAGAAAATCCATTAATGTAATCATCTGTACTGAGAGGACCAAATTCTTCCTGTCAGATGGGTAAGTATAACTCACAGTGTATATGAGCATGTACAGTTTAAGGACATTGTGCATCTTAACCAAGCCTGTTATTAAGCATCAGCTTAAACGAGATGGGCAAGATCGGGATCAACTCTTTCAGACATTAATCTCAGAATGAAAAACACATTCATTTTTAACTTTACTCTCTGTAGTTTCTTTACATGTCTGAGGGAAAATAGCATATCAGCAACACAAACCGCAACCTTCCTTGATAATCCGATGGTTCTGTTTTCAAGGTTTGGTAACTGGGAATGAACAAATGGACAAAATACAATTTAAATCTTCTTCTTCTGCTTTAAATCTTATTTTAAAATCAGTCCAACTGGATTTATTTGGGTTTACACGTGATGATGTAAGGTCCAGATGAGATATTTGATTACCAAACTGGGTTTATTGGTGAATTAAGGTATTTTCAAAGGATGCAGGCTTGGGGAATACTCTGAATACAGATTGCAATATATGTAACTCTTTATTAGAGTTTAAATGTTTGAATACTTCCAGAAAGTCTCCAGTGAGCTTGTGTCCACAACAGGCTCGACAACCTGGCAGGTTTGTGGCTCAAAGGATTTTGTTTACAAACAGCCAAAGTAATGGAAATTTTCAATTCTTTTTCATGCTGTTTGTAGTCCATATTTTTTACTCACCAGTCATAAGTCTGTGACTGCATGGCTAATTTTAAGCAAAATATTCTTTTGCCAGTCAAACACCTCTATAATTAGCAATGGTATAAACTATGAACATGTCGGACTTTGATGATAAATTTGGTACTAAGGCCCAGTGGATTGTAAAATTGGGTCTTTAGATTGTGTCTAAAATGATGCATTGCAACACAATGAGCCTCGTCATTGCCTTTACTTGTTGGCGGTCATATATTGGAATTCATCAATGTATTCTTTATGGATACCTTTATATAGGAAGATGGTGATGGAGATGTGAAATAAGTTCTTCACATGTGAAATGTTGACCTAATAACTTATTTTGTGTGAGATATACCAGCGGATCTTTAAGTTAGAAAACCATCGTGAAATTGATTTATTTCAGTAATTCGTTTCAAAATGCAAAACTCATGATTTCTAAATTAATTACAAACAAAGTGAGGCATTTAATGAAAATGCTGGGCAGCGTGCAATATTCCTCGGGTGTAATGTCTCTGCAGGTCACGTTCTGGTAAAAGTCAAGTTCTCGCACCGGGAATAAAATCTTGTTTCTAGAGGTGATGGCACTTTGAGCAGGGACACAAATGAGGAAGGCAGGAAGGAAACAGAGGTGTGTTTTTTAGAAGGAGTTAGCTAATCTCGTTTTACGACTTGAAGATCAGACCAATGTAACATTGCAATACAGAGGATCCAAATCAGCTGCATAAACTATCCAGTCAAGTAAGGCACACATCAGAAAATCAATTCAAACATGGTTTGTTTTGTTTGTTTGTGTGAAAATATTCCAGCTCTGGAAGAAAAAAACAAAAAAAAACTTCTGAGATTTTCTGCAGAGAAGTGCATGTAGTATTGACCTGTAGCAGGGGTTGTGTGATTTGCATTAACACTGAGATTGCCAAGTTGTACTGTATGATTTCTAATAACCTTAAAAATGTGGATTATTATATAATCAGTGCTGGGAAGTTGTCAGCTTTGACACCAGAGAGATATGTACGAGTGAAGTTGCCTTTGACTATTTCTCATTCGTGGAACAGCAGGCTGCTTTTTTTTTTAATCAGTCCTGAATGAAGTTAGCCTTTTAACTGTTGAACAAATCCTTTGTCAGCTCAAGTATATGTTTATTTATCATATGACTCCATGTGTAAGTAGATACATGAAGCCTCTTGTTCTCAAACTCATCAAGAACTCGGCCGTTACTTGTTCGGCGAGGCACCTTTGTCTTAAAAACTGAACTGAACACCGTTTTTTGTGTGAACACCTTTCTACATTCTCATGCTGGATAACTACAATATTAAATAAAACTATCTGAGGCGGTTTATTGAATGAAACATGACAATTTATTCAATAAAGTTAAAAGTGAGCTAACTATCTACGTCTTTTTGTCCTCGTGACATTTCCTCATTTTCTTTTCATCTGTTGCTTGATCTTATTTTCACTGATGTTATTTAGAGATGAATCTAACACTGAAAAAAGATGGGAATTGAGGGAAATGTTAACCTAAATATTTCAAATGAAATAAATGATTTTATCAAAAACAGTTGATTTCTGCCTTTTTTTTTTTTTAAGTTTCTACATGTCACATTTTCCAAAATGCCGTTGGTAAAAGAGTCAAAGCTGTTGATGCACGGAGACTCTTAGAGCATTCTGGACAGTGTTACTTTTTCATACTTCAAGTCATTAAATAAAACAATTTCAATTTAATGGGTAAACTTTAAAGCCAGTTTTGGCTGACACATCCTGGAGGTGACATCATACAAGTAAGTAAGTAAAGCTTTATTTACAAGATAAAAATCACAAAGTTCTGCAACAAACAAAATAAATACACAAAAGAAACAATGTGTAAGGCCAGCAGTCAGACCTTTCTATTTGTCCTTTTACTTTTATGTCCTTATTTTTATACATATTTTTATTAAAATCCCCCTTTTCAAAGGTTATTTGCATTCTGTATTGCTACTGCAAAAAGCTTTTGAGTATATCTTAGTGTGTGGATTTCCAGAAAAATTGTCAACAATAAAATACATGGAAGTGGTTTGGAAAGAGGAGCAGGGACGTCTGGAAAAAAAAAAAAAAAAAAAAAAATTTTTAAAAAACCAGCGGGGCCAGAAAAACCCAAGGTT